GAGGAGCTCCCGCGCTGTCTCCCCTCCTCACCTCTCACCTGCACGCGGTCGGTGCCGACCGCCTGCCGGTCAGCTCGGTCGGTCGGTGAGGGGACTTTTGCACAGCTCTGCTGAGGAGGCAGTAGTTAAGAAGAGCTCACTCTTAGTTGTGTCCCCCTATGGTTAAATTTCGATTAAAATGGGTGTTTGTGCTGTTTTTGACGAGATGTATCTTAAGATGCAAACACTTGCGAACACTTCTGTGACCAGCAAAGGCTAGTTAGCTGAGCGATTAGCAAAGCCTATAGGGTATTTGACTAGAGCGCTGAGCGGAAGTAGAAGAACAAAAACGGAAGGTGGAAAAGGCGCCCGCGTAGGGATGGTATATTCGAACTCGAATATTCGATGTATTCGAATAATCGATTTCGAATAGTCGACTATTCGACTTCGAATTTGTCTGTATCGAATAGGTCGAACATTCGAATATTGCCGTCGAATATTCGAAAAATATTAAATTCACTAAAATGTGCTGGAAAATGCATCAGAGCAAGCTGCAGACAGACAGCAGACCGTCGCGCAACGGGTCCCAGCAGCAACTAACTGAACTGAACTCCCACCCGTGCCGCGCGCTCGCTCGCTCACCCCCACCCCCAGGCACGGCCCTCTGAGTTTGCTCCGCTGCGTTGATGCTCGATTGTTTCTTTCGGTGTTGTTGTTTCCTAACCTGTGATCTTGTGATGGCGGAGCCCGCGCTGTGAAAGTTATGTAGTTTAAAATAAGACTAAGTAATAAGTAGATTTAACTAGTATTAGCTGTTGTGTGATACAATGTCTCCTCCCAGTCCTGTGTGGACTTACTTTACGAAAACTGACAACAAGACCAAAGCACAATGTCACGAGTGCAATGAGAAGTTGACATACACCAAAACAACTACGAATCTATTGCTTCATTTACGTGGTGTTCACAAGATCAACTTGCAAACATTGCCAGCAAAAGGTGGTAAAAGGAAGAGGTTTCAGCCGAACAGCTCAGTGGATGAGGATGAGGATGAGGAAACTGTTGATGACGCGCCACCTCCGGAGGAAAATCAGGTTAGTTTTGGGCCGGTGTGGACTGGGTTACGGGCTGTCAGCGATAGGGCTCTGCGAGGGGCAGTGAGGGATTGCGTTTAAATGTATGTCACTTAATGTCACTCAGGCAAAACGGCGCAAAGGCAATGACGGCGGACCCCTTGTGAGGTGCCTAAGCAACCAAACTGCGTTTGCAGGTGAGAGGATTTTGCGCTGTACTTTTCCGTTTTCCGCCGCGACGCTACTGTTTCATTTTGGTTTATGTGCTTTATTTATTTTGCAGATGGAGGTCCCCGAGACATTGAGTGCACTAATGCACTGATGTTTATGATTGTAAAGGATAATTTGCCATTGAGCACCCCGGAGAAGCCTGGTTTCAGAGCCTACACCAAAAGTCTTCAGCCCTTGTATCACATCCCGGGAGAGCCCTCGTTGACGAAGTGCTTGGAAGCTAAGTACGAACGGCTGAAGAAACTTGTAGGAGATATGATTGCAAAAGCTGATCATATAACTATGACTATGGACCTTTGGACGCACAAGCATACCATGCGGACTCATTTAGGCACCACTGCGCATATCACTAAAGGTATGTTTTGTAATTCATTGACAGTTTCGCCCGGAAAGAAAGTGTCGCATGTGCATCGGCGTCGGCGGTTTGGGTACCTGTTCTCCGGGAGAGGGGAAGGGGCAAGGGGAGGGTGGGCTGTCGCGGCGATTAGTCAGCGGGAGTACCGCGCACAGATTTGCATACTTAATAGTATTTTATTTTATTTTAGGCTGCAAGACACGCTCATATGAATTAGGAGCTCGGCACATGGAGGAGAGAAAGACGGCAGAAAATATCAGAGCAGCCATTCGTGACGTGTGTAACGACTGGCAGATTGATCGGAGCAAAGTCAGAGCTTGCGTCACCGATGGAGGAGCTAATATAAAGGCAGCCGCAAAGGCAGAGTTTGGAGCAGACCGACACATCACTTGTGTGTGCCATCAGCTTAATCTCATCGGCCAGAAGGCCATAGGAAACATGGACGCTAAACCGCCATCTGAGATGGATGCGGTAGCTTCTGATCTGCCGGAAGATGAAGATGACTTGGACGAGGAGGAGATGGGACCAGCCCCACCGCCAGATTCCCTACGGGCTATTCTAATTAAAGTCAAGAAAACTGTCCGTTTTTTTCGACAAAGTGAAGTAGCAAGAGCTAGACTAGATGAACTACAGAAGGCTGAACTTGGCAAATCTGAATCCAGCTGTCTTAAACTAATCCAAGAGGTCAAAACACGATGGAACTCTTGCTTTGATATGCTAGAACGGTACTTTTATTTTTCTATACTTAAAATTACACATACATTTAATGCATTATTTGAACAGTATTTCCTTTACTTTCAGGTACCTCCTCCTTTCCTCTCTTGTGAACCGGGTTATTCTTGAAATGCAACGCTCACGGGCCTCAAAGGCGAAAGCACCGGAAATTATGACCCCAGAAGAAGAAGATATCTTGAAAGAGGTAAAGGACCTTCTTTCTCCTCTCTCAAGGGCTACATTGGAACTAAGTGGAGAGAAGACTGTCACACTAAGCAAATGCATTCCAGTTATCAGGAACTTACGCACGGTACGTACGCACGGCTTAAAAATATATTTCGTCCTCATCGCACAATGCTTGCCGCAATATTGATGTATTATCTGATTTTTACAGGACATTGAGAAGTTTGAGCCAACGACTGGGATCTCCTTTAATCTAAGACAAAGCCTCTTAGGCCTCATTCAGCACTCCTTCGGGAGCGTCGAGGGCGTGCGGATGTTTGCAGTTTCCACATTGTTAGATCCAAGATTCAAGAAATTCGGATTCTTTCAAGATATGGAAACGCCCCGACGTGTTGCCAACGCCGTGAGCTGGACTAGTACGTTTATCTTAACAGAAAGTGTCACTTAAGTTGTAAGTTTGCATATTGTTTGCTCATGTAAAATGGTAATGTATCACAGGTGACTTGGTGAAACGGTCGATGAGAGAACAGGAGCAAGAAAATGTTCGTCAGGAGCAAGAAACGAACGCCAACGGGGGAGCGGCCTCCGGGGAAGCTCCTGCTTCTGATGATTTTTGGGATGCTTTCGACCGAGAGATAGAGCAGCAGGCCGCCCAACTGTCTGGACAGGACATAGCAGGAGGCATTCCAATTCAGTTGAGAATGTATTTGGATAGCCCGCCGGTGAAACGCAAAGACAATCCCGATCCCCTTGTTGCCTGGGAATCACTTAAGGGAGAATATAAGCATGTCTATAAAGTTGCCCAAGAGTATCTATCTATATTAGCAACTTCTGTCCCTGCTGAACGCCTCTTCTCCCACGCAGGCATTATTATGCATCAGAGAAGAACGCGCCTTGCTAGCAGACGTCTCGATATGCTTGTCTTCCTGCGATCAGTTGACAAAGAAACTTGGTTTAAAGTTTTCATTTAGTCACTGCTAGACACTGCCATGCCAATAAGTAATTGTTGCTAGTCTTGACCATTAGTCT